TAATTAACACAACACCTGCCATGATTTGCTTGCTGGAAAAGTACAAATATTTAGAGGGGATTCATCTAAGGGCCTTCTAGGTTCTCAGTAAAGACTCCCCTGCTGCCTCCAGCTACATCCCCTGCCGGAGAGACGAGTCACATAGTCTTGCAGAAAGGAAACGCAGGGCTCATGGTGAACAAAACCAATGCAGGATGCAGTCACTGGTCATCAAAGGTCACAGGGTCCCCACTGGGTGATGATGTTTCCCAGCCTGTTTTACACCAGAGAACAAGAGGGGAGCATTGCATATACTCGGGAGGGATTTCACCACCGCTAGCCTCGTACAGCCTCGTTTGATTGCACCCAGGCACTGAGCAGCCTGGCCGAAGGCACAAGCAATACCCAAATGCTAATCCAAGCCTCTGCGATGACACATCACCGAATTCTGCTTCCATCTCAGACAGAAATGGGTGATGCTGCTGCTCTTGCCCACTTCTGTTAGCAGTTCTGTGTGTTTACCTATGGAAGTCCATCGGGCATCTCACTCCTCCCCACCTGGTGGTAGTAATACCTACACTTTTGGATCTTATGGCACCACCAGAATTTGTTGGCTAATGTTAAGGAAATGGTTTTGAAGATACCTATCAGCGACACTGTATCCTACAGCTGAGTTACACATGAACCCTTCTTGTTTGCTTATTTTGAAATGAATTGCAGTAATTCATAAAAAGTGACATGAACTTACTATGCACATGCCTAAAATCTAGAGGTTTTTTTTCAACGACACCGATTTTCATCGGAAGTTAACACAACCACTGCTCGCACGCCTCTTCAGTATTTACAACAAACGTTTCATTTGCTATTGTAAACTGGCCCATTATCAGTTTTGTCTATCTGCTCTCAGACTCGCCAACTTCTACTCTGTTGTTTCTGTAGAGCTGATGGTGGCAGGGAGGGCTGGTCCTCCAGCTCCCCACAAACTGCTGGCTCTTGCCCTGGTGCCTCTGCCCCCGTGCTGGGCTCCGAGGGCGGACCCCGAGGGCTACGTACACAGCCACTGGGACATCAGGCACAGCAGCCTGGGGTAGAGGTTGGAAAGCAGAGCACAAACTGTTTCATTGCTGGGATGGGGAGCTTTACTGACATGAGAATTTTGTGGGGATGAGTTCACGGTGAATGCTAGAAAAATCTAAAGGGATCATTCCCCTTTCTCTGCTCGCTGTTATACAACACGTTTCTTTTCTGCTTTTGCTTTCACCTGTATCTTAAGTCAAATGAGATCATTCTCTGTTCTCCTTCTAGATTCATAAACTGCATGAATTACATGATGAAAAGACTACATATTACATTTCATGTCATTTCTCGCTTAGCGTATACCACAAACAGCGGGAAATTTTTCTCTTCCCACCATGAAACATTGACACGGATACAAATCTATACTAATCTGTACAGTACTATAAACCACTGGTGGTTTGTCTCAGCTGGGAAGAAATCACATCCCAAAACATCCACATTTCCCACAGAGCAGAGCTCCCCGTGTCCCGCCAGCACTCGATGAGCAGAGGGATGGGCCCTGCCCTACTCCCAGCCTTCCCCAGCCAGGACCAGTGGCCGGAGGGGACGGCATGACTGGCAGCTCTCCATGTGGCTCCCCTCTCCTGGAAAGCACGAGCTCCCCGCAGGAGGCCAGAGGCACCCCGGCACGAAGGGCTCCCTCAGCAACCCGGAGAGGGTAGGGCTGGCATGGTACAGCCTCACCAAGGCCACCAGAAGCCCCGAAGAGGCAGCACAGACATCTCTGTTTCTGGTCAAATTCCTGATAGCACCATGTACATCCGTATCCGTTACTCTGCCAGATAGCCCCAGGCCCGAAAGTATCCTCGCTATTGCCTGGGTGATGCAGCGCCATAGACAGGCTGGAAAACAGCTGCAAATTCAGGCAGGTGGCTCCTTGGGGTGCTGGGTTCACAGGCTGCAGGACAGGATCACCCAGTCACACCACTGTGCCAGGGCTGACCCCGTAATGGTAAAGTCAAGGGATTTTATATGATCGCAAACCATCAGGACATTGGTTTTACCCACCGTCTGGGCTCACGTGTCTAAGGGTGAGCATGACAGAATCTCCTCCTCCTTGCAGAAGGAGCTATGCAGTCAAGCTAACGTGGCTTAGGTGTCACGAAAAAATACAGATGGATAAAGATGGATAAAACAAGACCATCTCCCTGTGTCCCTTCACTGCACCTCACAGTTCGGGCAAGGCACCAGAGCAGGGTTGGGTGAGCTGCTGGTAGACACGGATGCGCAGGCACATTAGCACACACGCTCCGATGGGGACTAGTTATACGCCACTGCCCTACAGCCCCTCGTGGACTGACTTACAAAGGAATGTCCTTGTGATCTCTGCTCCCTAGAGACTACCCAAGTCAGCTCTAGTCAGCAGCAACTTGTTACTACCTTTCCTTTATTTGGCCGGGTGAAAATCTGGAAACCAGCCTGTACTTTCAGTGGAAATCATAAAGAAACAATTATTAAATAACAAAACAAGTTAGAAAACAGATCTTTTTATTAGGAACAAAATCATCGTAGGGAAAAGAAAAAAAAAAACCACCAAAAAAGAACAATAGCTGGGCATGAACACACACAGTTAAAGGAAGAGCACAGGCTGCACGACTTCTCTTCTGACCTCACAGTAACAGAAACCTTTGCCCCGTTGCTGATCGGCATCTTCAGCAGGGAAGGACAAAAAACCAGCCGTGTCCCATCTGCCTCATAAAGACATCTACTCAGATTCCCATCCCAATGGGAAAAAGCCTTCCCAGACTGGGGTTACACCAGTGGTGGTGCTAAGAGCTGCCAGGCCCCCCCCAGCCCTCCCAGGGCTGGCAGCAGCAAGGCAGCACTAGGGCAAGCTGGAGCTGGGATGCACCAGCCCAGCAGGACAAGGCTGGCCCAGCTCCATCACCCTCAGCACCCGAAATGCTGGCACCTTCTCCAGTGCAGCTCAGAGCACCGTTCAGCCTTTGAAGCATGTACTGGAGTCGACTGTTCCCTGCCTGCCCCTGCCAGAAAGTGCAGAAGAGAAGCAAAGCTGACTATGTCCCCCCATTTCGGTGACGCTGACCCCTGTTCACCCAGCATCGCTGCCACTCTGCTGCCTACAGGCAGCTGCCACCCCAAGCGCTCGGCGTCACATCTTTGTCATTCAGCTCACAGCCTTTGAGGAATGTTTGTACTGAAAGGAGATAGCGCAGCACCATGAGGAAAAGAATTATCGTCTCCCTCTTACCGTGGAAAATCTGATTCCTACGGCAGCCTTAAGAAGCAGAGACAGGCTGAATCACCACCAACACAGCACGTAAGATCCAAAAATCTTCTAAACAGAGTCACAGGACAAGGAAACAACAAGAACGACCACCTATGGCTGGGCGTCACCAATGCAGAGCTTTGCCGTGTACGCAGACATGAAGGACTTCCAGGAAAGCATGCAGCCGCCCCGCCAGCTCCCCCGCCTGGGAGAGAAGCGTTCAGCTTGGGTTTGATTTTGCTGGGGTACTTGCAGACCTCGTTGGGTGACATTTACAAGGCATATCCTAAATCTGTTTCCAAGGGATTCGTGGCACAATGTCAGCACAATATAAAACAGGGACAAAACGACAAGGGAAGAGAGGAATGCAATACACACCTTCCCACTCCTTTTGGCCCCGATCTGTACCATCTCTGCTTTTACTCTACCATGCCTTTCTAGCCCATTGGGCTGGTTTAACACCAACATGCCCCACTTCCAACTACCAAAACGCACTTATACAGTAAATACCTTGCGCTGGCAGTGCATCCTCCAGCACTCCCTGTGGCCTGACAGCCCTGCAGCCCCCGGCAGCTTTGCCAGGGACTCAGCTAGCGGCTGCCTGGGACCGAGTCCTTGCCCTCTGCTCACCTCGTCCTTCTTCCCTGCAGCTCTACCCCAGCTGCTCCCCTCACAAACCTCCCCCGAGCAAAACAGGACAGGCGTAGCAGCAAGACTTGCCTAAGACATTCTATAAATTGCTGCTGTCTGTGCAAATAACACAGCACTCAAAAAGCCTACATGCACAGGCAGATAGCCAGCTTAATCAGCTTGCAATAGCTAAACCAGTACACTAAAGGCACTAACGCTTGCACTGATGAACGACCTCAGCATTATAATCAACGTTTCTGCCAAAATCACACACCCAAGCCCCAGGCACCCTTCTGCTGCAAGCAAGCAAGCTAGTGACAGAGCTGTTTTAACTCACTGGCAACCCGAGCAGTTAGGTTCTGGCGAAAGGTAACCGGTAGCCCCCTGCCATTACAGGGCATCAAAAGGCGAGCAAGCCAGCGTCACCTCCCAGGGTCTGCATACAGCAGCCGCTGCCACCACTCCTGGCCCCACGCAGCAAACGGTGAGGGCCAAATCACAAAGGGTCTGGAGCTCAGAGGAGCGATTCAGATAAACACCCAGCACAGCAGATATCTAGCTGAAACGTCCACTGAGCTTTTTTTGCAGGGCCTGTGAAAAATGCCTTGAAATCTCCTGAGAAGAGGCTTTCTCAGGAAATTTCTAGCAGGTCCTTGCTTCTGTCTGGGACTTCCACCTCAATCCGCCTGTCATGCCTGTCCCTTGCAGGAACCGCTGGCTGGTGAAGACATGGCGAAGCGTGGGGTGGGCAGGGAGCGCCTGTCTCGGTTCAGGCTGTGCTCTAGGGCTCCACAGTTCAGCTGCAGGTCTGTTAGCAGGCAAAGCATCAAAGAGCTGCCCAGTTTTGTTTGTTAGTGAACTTGTCAGCCCACAGCAGTGCAGCCTTGAAGCCACACATGTGCTTTTCCTTATATTTTCTTTTTCTTTTCGTTTTTTTTTCAAAAGAGGTTAGCAGGCCTAACAGCTCACATCTTTCCCCTGCTAAAATTTTTCCGGACCAATTCTTACACACAATGAGACTATGGGATGCAAAGGATGGGTGTCGTAGGCTTCAAAGACAGCGTGGAACAGCAAGCATGCCAGATCAGTCATCAGTTGGATCCGGGAAACAGTCCGAGGCATTTTCCTGCCTTTCCACATCAACTATGACCTCTGGGTCTGGCATTTCCTCAGGCTCTATCTCCACTGCTAAGTTTTCTTCCACCAGCGGCTGGGGCTCAACGCCTTGACCAGTCTCGGCAGCTTCTGGAAAAGAAGGGAGAAATGGTTTTTAAGTGCCCCGACTATGCTCACCCTCATGGAAATCCTCCCCCCAGTCCCTGATGCTGCAGGCTGCCTAACCTGCTCAGTCCCCTCTCCCCAGGCGTCTGCAAGCCAAATTTCAATTTTCTTTGTAACTACTCATTTATTGAGCTGTCCATCGTGGCTTTAGACACGTTGGTGCTGAAGCTCTCTGGGCGCAACTGCCCAAAATATACCAAAACACCAAAGCCAAATCTATTCAGTTACATCTGAGTAATTAAAGCTGGCTAACAGCACACGTTTAATCTGTTCTCACCTAAACACTTTCCACACACACCTCTGCTTTTTACTTATTTGTAGAAAATTTAAAGATGGGATACTTTGTTAGTCAAACTGACAATGTGTAAATTTTTTATTAAAAAAAAAAAAGTTATACAATTTAAGTATATTAATATTAAACAATGACCTGAATGACTTACATCTTTTTTTTTTTTTCTTTCTTGCACTATATTCATGAGTAGCATTTAATATTTTGAAAGCAGAACAAAGCAGCATCCAAGGTTAAACGTAAAGCATAGCTGAGCTGCTGCGAGGCTGTGCATGGTACAGTGAAGGACACCAGAAGTGGAGACAGCAGTGCTGAGACCAGGCTATGACCGATGTAATGTTGCTCCAGTTCATGATGTGTCTGCTAGACCTACTTCAGCTGATGATGGTGCATTACTAAGGAAGGTGTTGCCAGTGTTCATGTTTGTGAAACAAAATCAAGAGAAACGTAATGCAAAAAGTGGAGTGTTAATATCAAGCACTCACAGGACAGGAGATTTCTGGAAGGTTTTTATCGCTGCACTCTCTTTACCATACTGTCAAGAGAGCATAAAGCTGTGGGGTTTTATTCTCGATTTCTTTGAAGGATTTAAAAAGTGACTGTATTCCCACTTTAGCCCCAATTTAAGGAAATGCACAAGCCTCTGACTTTGATGGGATTTAGCTGTGTTTACAGCTCAGCATATTGGTGGATGCTGGCCTGAGGACGACTGCTTACGAAAACAATGCCGATTCTTATAAAATGTTACTGATGAGAAGGGGGTGTGTGTGATAAAATCGCAGGAAAACTGCTAAGTTTTGGGGATTGCTGTTTTTGAGATGTGTATTTTAGCACAGGAGATACTGGAACAGACAATCTGCAGTCTGCTGGCAGTACCCTCTGCAGGATGCTTATGAGACGGCTGCCGCTACATCTCATGGCTGGTGTGGGCAAGAGTTACTCCTGTGCAGAAGCCGAGCACGAGTAAGGTACTGATAAATGACCTGCTGCAACTTCTGTTGTCTGGACAAGATGCAGCACCTTCCCTGCGCTAGTGAGTCCCAGGCCCCTCTCTACAGTCAGCTCCTCCCCTATCAGCCACACACATCCATTTTGTCCTTCACCCTCCTAAACAAGCTATCTGTCTGACTTAAAACAAGTCACTGGACCCACCAGGTTTTGGAGGGCAGTCGATTTGGGCAGCTTGAGCCTCGACATGGTCTCCATTGGGGGGGCTCTTCACACCTTCGCTGGAGACCACGGACATTGTTAGTCCATCATCCTTCTCCTCCTCTGTAAAACCAAAACCGGAGACTTGAAGGAAAGAGGTCCCCCACATTCCAGCAGCCTCGGCACGTTCATTGCGAGGCCAGACCACCAACACATGCTTGCATCTCCTCCTCAAGCAGCACTGGCTCCATTCCCGGAGCAGACAGATGCCGAGTACAGAGGGCCATTGCCAAGCTGTCAGAGACCAGCTTGGCCATGCTGGCAGGATCACAGCTTGAGGTGGCCTCACTGGGCATGGGCAGATTGCACTCAGGGACTGGTGCTGACAAAGGACTGCCATCAGAAGCCATCAAGTCATTTCAGGATCAGATCTGAATGAGGCTTGATTTTCTTGCCCATAGAAAAGGTTTTGCTGTGTTTCTTTCTGGCCAGGAGCACATGGTGGCAAGCATGAGGTGAAAAAAGGAAAAGCAAGGTTTATTCAAGACCCCGCTGATTGTAACAGTTGCCTATCAGCAAGTAGCCTTCTGCTCCACCAGGTCAAGGGAGGGCTGGCTGGAAGACAAGCAGCCGCCCGGCTAAGACCAGTTTATGTTGAGGCTACTTCAACCCCAGCCTGCAGAAACACAGTCCTCTGTGAGACTCACCCCAGGGGGCAACAGCGTTCTCCGCTCACCTGAAGGCACTGGGATGAACTTGTGTTTCCTCTTCATGCAGCAACATATGACTGAGGACACAACCACTACCAGGATAACCGCAACCCCTGCGCACCCTGCCAGGATGTAAATGAACCACGGGTACTGCAGCAAGTCTCCTGCAAGAAGGACATGGCATTGTTAGTTACCAGGGTGGACAAGCTTCTTTCTCCAAACGGGAGAAACGCTGCACCCAGATTAGAGCACGTGGGCATTCCCGTTGCTTTGGTTTGGGTCAGGGGAGCTGATACTGTGAACTGTGGCACATCGTGATTTATGTCACGTCGTTTAATTATGGTATGGAATTTTTCATTAAGAGGCTTGTGTGACTAAGCTGTGTGCATTTGTTTCTGCCTACTCTGACCAGTAACATCTAAGAGAATTAGTAAGTTTTAATCAAATTTAACAGGGAAGGTGGTGGTTTGAAAGATACAACATTTCAACAAGTTTTATGAAAACAAGCAGCTGAGAAGAGGAGGGGGACCTAAGCTAGCATCTCCTGCGGAAAGAAAAGCTGCAGAGTCTACCCTCAGAGCTTGTATTAGGCCCCAGAGAATCCTCGTAGGACAGCCGTGTAACGACTACGCCAACCTCAAAGCAAGTCTGATCAGAGCCTGCACTTCCTCAGGCACCAGAGATTCCAGCCACCCGAGTCAGAGCTGTAGGAAACCGGCTTCACGGCTGCTCAGGGAAGGATTTCTCTTTATTCCCCTTCCCAGCTGAGATCATGCGAAACACCTAGCAGGAGGCGAAGGCTACAGATGGCTGAGCAGAAGGCCACGCACAAGTTGGTGGTAATTGTTACCCAGTTCAGGGTCCCTTACTCAGGGTTGCTTTGACGGGTCAGGCTTGCGCGTACGTTGCTGCCGAGCGGGGAAGCTGGTAGAGGGCATCGCAGACTTGCAGAAAAGAGAGACCCATCGAGACTTGCTGAGACAATTTGCTCCGACCTGGGGCAGCCAGTAGGAAAATTCTTCTTCCCGTATGAAAAAAACCATACAGCTCAACCATCGCTACTATACAAATTCCTTAAAACACCTTAGGTAAACCTACGCCATCCCTTTTTGAATCATTTGGCTTCTTTTCAGCTGCGCACACGCCTGCACAGCACTGCACTGCAGAAACCAACAAGCTCATTTGGAGCTCGTTTTCGAGACCCCAAATGCACAAATTGCTGCATATCCCCAGAGGCTGGGAAGAGTTTCAAATGTTCCAGGACATACTACACGCAGTGATAGTCCACATACTGATGAGAACAGTAAAAACAACTCTAGACAGGTGCTCCTGTGTGTGAAATCACACATACTCAAAGTAGTTTCGGAGTGCTTGTAACAGTCTCTTTAGGAACAGTTACCAAGTTCAAAAAATCTATACTCAAGATTAAACTTTCAGCAAATGAGAAATGATTTCCCTAATAATTTTATTTCCTTTTTGATGAAAGCTCAGAGAATATTGTCAAAGGCATAAATATATATTGGAAATACTTTTTCCTGAATATTTTTTCCAAAAAATTTGCCATTTGTTAAAAAGGTCTTTTTGAGATAAAATATTGTGTTAAAAATCAGTAATAAAAAAGTAATAAAACAAGTAATGACTCAATAAAGCCTTTTTAATATGTTGACTGGTTAAATTCTGAATCCTCTACTTTAGATCCTATGTAATCAGAGCCCTTTGGTGCCTGGGAAGTTTACAGCATTTCTGCCAAATTGTTTTACGCTAACAATTATTCAAAATTAATTTCATCAGCCAACAAGTTGCCCAAATTGGTGCTTTTACGTAGATCGTATATCTACAGTGGAAAAAGTATATTCAGCCCTTTGCCTGGAGCAAATAATAACCCACAAAAACAATGAATTAGTCTTTAATTAATTTAATTGAACTCATTTCTCTCTTCAATTTATTTTACTAGTATTCAGAATCGCTTTAGTTCACTTTTTACAAATGTGGTTGCATTTGGTGACTGAAAAGTAGAATCGCTGCTACTTTCTTGCTCTCAGACGTGTTCATGCGTGTGTCAATCCCAACAGAGCTATCACTAAATTCCCATGTGGGCTTTTCAAGAGGAAATGGGGAACCGATATCACACCCAGGGGACTGGGCAGCCACCCAGAATAAACAATGGCAACTCTCAGCACTCACGTGATTTATCACAGGACTTGACTGAACAACTTATGGATGTTCGCATCCTCCCTCCCCCATGCCTCAGCCAACTTGGGTCTGACTACGCTGAACAACCTCTAACCAATTTAACTGGACAAAATTAAGATCACTGCTCCACAATCACAAATGCCAAACTTGTACAGATTGACCAGCGGCACCAACGCAATCAGGCATGAACAGCCCACAGCATTTCTGCTGAATGCCAGCACACATGATGCAGGGTTTATGTCAGTAATTTTGCTTTCACACCAACTGTATGCCAACCATAGAAGAAAAGACAGTATCTGCTGTGGAGTTGGAGCATCTCAGACAATTTCTAAAATGCTAGGTGCTATTGCACAGTACAATTTCTCTAGTGGCAAAGGTGATTAAATTGATTACAGCTAAATTAGTCAAAACCCTTGTGGTTAAATTATGCCACCCTGATGTAGTTTTGATGACCATCTTCACTGCCAGAGAGGAGAAAAACCTTCACTACTGGAGATGCAAGTGAAATCACACCCAAGGTTATCTAATCGAATTTTTTTTTTTTTTTTTTTAATAAATGTGAGCTTACAACATAGACCAGTGCTTTGCATCATGAGGTTCTGGCAGTTCTGATCAGTCCTAGGATCCAGATTTTCTGTCTCATTAAACTATGGCCTCATTCAAGCAGAGTACTCGGCATTTATGGATAGCTTGCAAATAGATAAAAGTCACAGCCTTCTCATAGAACTACATATCCGAGCAGGGACATGGAAAGAAAAAACCCTACATTTGGTAAGTAAATAACTTGTGTCTTTACCGCACCTCTGATGGTGTGGGGCTAATGGAGAGACATTTGTATAGACTGGTAAATCTTTGTGCAGCTGGCCTAGATAAGGAGAAAAGAGACAAGGCAAAACACCTCGGCTGAGTCCAGCAGCAACAGGGCTGAACTAGCGGAGGTGTTTTTACAGAGATGGTGCAGAAACTGGAAGGCCATCTGGGTAACGGATGAATGTCAGAGTAGGAAGCAGCTCGTGTTTCTAAACTGGCATAGAGGATCGGTGCACAGGAGGGTGCAAGGTCTCCATCACTGGGAAGTAGGAAAACAGACAGATAGAGATCCATTCTTGCTGCAGAGTTGGGTAAAAGAACCTCCTGAACAAATTTCCATCCCTTCTGTGTGGCAGGCTGTGTCAGTCCAAGACACAGGAGGGAGAAGGAAGTCAAGGGAACACTTTCTAAAGGGAGGATGTGGTAAGTCTGGAAGGCAGCTGCCAGAGGACAGAAGAGTTCAGTACTATGCAGACAGCAACAACTCCTTAGTTTTCTGCTGCAAGAGACCAAAAGGGAGATTTTCTGGAGACACCATTACTCACCATAGCTGCAAGACAGCACAACGGGCCTGGTCCTCGTGACGCTGTTCCCGTGGTGAACCTCACATACAAATTCCCCGGGCACGGTTTTGTCCAGGCGAACCTTCTTCCCACCGTCCTTAACGCAAGCCTCCGGGGCGCTCAGCGCGGTGCCGTTCAGCAGCCACTGAAAGCTGGTGCTCTCGTTGCTGGTCACGTCGCAGGACAACTCTCCCGTCCCATTAGGGAAGCATTGGATACCAATGGCCGGCTCTGGTCACACACGGCATGGGGCAACGGGAACAGGAAGGAAAGAGAGAGGTGAGGAGCGGACTCAGCAGTGAACTTGAGCTGGACAGGGGCTTCCCTTACCGGCAGTCTTACTACCGCCACGTTTACTGGTAGCCAGGGGGCACAGAAATAAGTAACCAGACCCTTCAGTGCCTGCCCCCAGCCCTGAAATGCTTAGCAGTGCCCACCCAACCCTGCTAGTCACTCTTGGTCCCTGTTTCGGGGATGCCACAAAAATCTGGCGTCTCTTGATTCTCCTTATTGAAAAAGCGAAAAATAAAAGCCCCTGATCTGAGAGAACGGTGGAAACACTCAAATTATCTGCCAAACAGAGGCTTCCTCTGCAAGCAGCAGATAACCGTAGCTTCAGAGGAGACTCAGCCCTCTCCTCCACCAGCGGTTTGTACTTTTGCTGTCGCTCTGCCTCTTCTTCCATTTTAGAGAGGAACTAGTACAAATCATGCCCAGCATAGGTACCAACACCAGACACCTGCAGTTAGATAGGATGACCCAGTCTAGGACACTTTAAAACAAAGTAACGAATCATTGATCTTACTACATTTCCCTGAATTTCTCTCTTTCAGTCTACTACAAGGAGCCAACTTATTTCCCACATTTGCCACTTTGCAAATACAGACTAGACAGAAAAGTGGTATGGTTTTATGATAGTAAGAGTCACATTGAGAAAATCTATGCAAACATCCATGTAAATAAGCTCAGAAATCACTTTCTTCAACTAGGACATCATCTTCAGCTAAAATTCACTGCCTCCAGGAATACCTTTACTGTGAAATTGTTTCCCTGACTTAGGTGTGGCAACAGAACACAAGGAGGAGACAAAAGTTTCCAAAGCAAATCCACTGAAATGGAGGTTAAACCCAGGACACTTCGGCAGTCTTTGCCTACTTCCAGTCTAAGCCCCTGATCTTCGTGCCAAGGAGTCACATCTTTGACCTAGTCTCCATGGCAGTTCCGCCTGCTTGCGCCCAAAAGGTGTAAGGGTTCATCTGTCTTCACTGAGACTGGTTTGCTCCGACATTTTCATTACAATTTCATACGCTTCAATTTCTCTTAGAAGCTTGTATAAGTGAAAGCCCTGCAAAAGGAACGGTGGAGATAAGAAGCAGAGCAATGGTCACTTCAGCAGGGGGGCAAACCCATTTAAGCCTTCTCCATATTAACCCAAACAATGCGCTGGATCCTGTACAGAAGTAACTTTGTTTCTGTCTTCTCACCCCGCAGGTGGATGAACGAAGGGGAGCGGCAATTCTGAGGCCACAGGGAGGACAGTAGGGAGACTGGCACGGTGAGGTACCTATCGCTGGTCTCTGAACAGACCCAGAAGATGCTGACCTCCAAGCTGCTTAGGGCAGCTAGGAATCAGAAAGTCACACCCGGATTCCTTTCCTCGGCTGCATGAAGCAGGGAAAAAACCCAGCACGTCTCAACCCAGACCTGCACAGAAGTTCAGGTCAGGCAGGGTTAACTCCTTAAGGAAGCGTGTCCACAGGCAGCAAAATGCCGTCAGTCAGTGAGAGCTTTCGTGAGAGCCATCAGGAAGAGTACTCTGGAAATGGACTGAAATCTCCAGCTACTTGTCTACGTACCGTAGGCTCAACTGTACAAACACTTCATGCTGCTGTCTCTTACATCGGGAAAGCAGCACGTAGCTCAACTGACTGGCTACTTCAAGGAAGGCTCAGCAGACAGGAGAGACTGACAATGCAGATGCAAAAAGCATCCCTTAGTTTACACTCACCGTTACTGCTCCCTGAGGTGCCAGAGGCTTACAAAGTTGTTCCAGAGGCACCTACAGCTCCTGCAAGCTCAAGCAGTCTCTTAGGAAGAAATTCAAGGCACCAGCTTCCAGCCAGGCTCACAAGTTCAAAAGTTGTTTGTTGCTAAGAAGGCCACTTACCAAATACTTCCAGTGTAAAAAATCTGGTGGTGTTGTGAAAAACAAACTCGTATTTTCCTTCGTCCTCTTTCTCCACACTCCTCAGCACTAGGGAGCCATTCTGCAAGTTCAGGCATCTGCCGGCAGAAGTGCCGCACTCAGCCAACAAAGTATCGTTTAAGACAGCTGTCAAGCATCTCGCATCCCTCTTGTTCATTCTGGAGAGGTTCTGCAGACTTTGAATTCCCACAGAAAAGACTGCTGAGCCGCCGCTGAGCACACCGGTCCAGGTGTCAGAGCCTGAAAAGCGAGGCACAGAGCGTGGGCAGCAAGCTTGCCGTGTCCATCCATCCCCTCTCGGCTGCCTCCCAGAAAGGTCAATGCCCAGGTGAGATGTAAGAGGGACAGACCCACCTCTAGTGACAGGCTGGGGTCACCAGTAATCGAAAATCAGAGGAGCGGGAAGCCTTCTATACAGGCCAACTTTCCCCCCGATAACATGGGAGTGGTGTGCACACCATGCGCACAGGGCGACGAAAGGCTGAGCAGCTGGTCTTTTCTCTCCCCAAATTTGACACGACCATCTTACCACCCCCCGTCAGAGCTGAGAGACTGTGCAAAGATCCTCAGGGCCTCAATGCCATGGATCTTGTACAGAGGGTAGCAACAACAACTGCTGCCTGCACAGCTGCTTTTACCGAAAGAGTAAGGTCGCAGTTTTAACATGAACAAGTCTGACAGTATACTTGCACATTTTTAAGTTGCTGTACGCAAATCAGAGATGGGTAAATGGCAGGATGACAGCAGCTCGGGGACTAACCCAAGGTCACACCGAGCATTAGGAGTGGGGCCACATTGCTCTGCAGCCCCTCCAGCCAGCGTTCTGCGTACAAGGACCTTAACATTCTCCGCTGAAATGCTTTTACAGACACAGTACACTGAGAAAGTACTATATTGTTGGTTATCATTCATTTACTAAAGAAAGAATCTGTCTTACTTTGGTCTGACTGCCCCTTTCATGCATTAGCAGTTACACTATTTGATGTCTCCCCAAACCTGGTAGAGTCCTTAAAAGATCTTGGAGCAAAATTAAGGTGTCTGCTCATCTAGGCAAATCTGTGCCAACTTCATAAAGAAAAATCCCACTTACCATGAGTAACAGTTATTATCACCAGCAAGCACTGCAGAGTAAAAGAAGAGCTGAAATCCATTTTAAAGAGCTCCTTGCATCATATGCTGAGAAGACGATCTGGCTACAGAGCTCAGTGAATATAGCGTTCAGGAAATGATGTCAGAAGCAAGAGTGAAAAAAAAAGAAAAGAAACTCCATAGTGGACGGCTTGAATAATGTTTCAAAATAGACCTGCAAGGTTTTGGGTGACTGAACTCGGGCTGAACCAACGTGAGCCACAATGTGCTGTGCAAAGTCCCGCACCTTGGAGCTAGCTGTAAGTGTGAGAATAGGGCTGAGAGGTGAGGAGAGACAAAAATATCTTCTGGTCAGCTCACCCCATTTAGGAAGATGCTAACGCTGAGACCGGGCAAAGGCGAAACGCCTATTTCTTTCATCCTTTTCCAGTTTATCGAAGTACAGCATCCCCACCCAGGGAAGAGAAATCAGTCCAGTCAGATAAAGCACTGCACATGCAGACCAGCTGATTTTCTGAAACTCCAACAGCGATCACTCACGGAGAGTCTCACCAGCAGGAGGTGCGGGAGAAGGTTCTCCCTCTGTACGCAAAGGCTAAGTTGCCAGCCTGAACTTTGCTGGGCTCTCCTGGTGACGGAATGGTACCTGCCATGCAGGAAAGGGCTCCGTACAGCCGCCCCAGGCAAAGAATAAAGGTTATGGGAAGTTAAGTTGCATTGCAAAACTAGACTGAATGCAGCCCAAAAGCCACCCCGGCTCTGTTTGGAGTGCAGATCCCAGAGACGAGACTGAAAAGCCAATCCTGAAGAACTGCTGTGAACCAGTTATCTAGAGGGCCGCATAGGGCCAGATACTTTGTTCACACTCGCTGAGATGGCTTAAAGCACACATTTTGGCTTAAAGATGGCATTTTGCACTGAGTGCCAAGGTGGATTACACAAGCAACGCAGCAGAAACCGTCTCACTCACTGGAGGAAGTAAACCGCCATAGCATTATAACCAACATCTGGATTTTTTTAGGCACACTTAGCAGATGTGCTGGGGAATAATTGTGACAGCAGTTCAAGAAGCGGCTGGGAATCTTGTACTTTTCGTGCCATTTCTCTGGACACAGACATAGACACAGCCCGTAAAGGAAGCTCCACACGGTGGAATTACACGTATACACCCATTTCTAAGAAATGGTTAAACCCCTTGTGTTGTGGTCTGCACTATTTTTCAAACAATTTGGCTCTGCTTGATAATTCCACATTTCAGCCAGTGGTTTGGTCCTCCTGACTTCTTAGCAATGACAATTACATCTCACCTCCTGCTCCCAGTGTCCAAAATTTACAAGTTTGTTCAAGGCTACCATAGCACCATCCTGTCTTTATCATACGTGCATAGGACAGGCCTAAACTGATCTAAGATGTGACAGAAATAGTCTTCTCTGAGAAAAGCAATGAAGTGAGTCTTGAGACGCCCACAGCAGTGCAGAGGAAGGGGGAGAGAGAAAAGTATTTACAGTCAGAAACACTTTCATTTCCTTCTGTGCTGCTGAAACATGAAGAAAATCTCTCTCAAATATCACTGCAAGACTGAGGCTAACCATCTGCCTCGGATGTGCACATTCAACTTCATTTCACCTTCATGCTTGAAGGGCAAGCTGGTAGAGCTTAGGGTTGCAGTGCTGTGGTGGAGACACAAGACAGAACAGGCAGCCTGTGCAGGGTGGCTTCAAAATAACACCCCAAAATGTTCAGAATCTCAGAAAAACAATAAAATGCAAAAGGGGTCTGCATACAGCCAAAGCCAGCAAAAGTTCGTCTCCTCCAGCTAATGATAGCAGCCTCACAGAGCTCATTTACAGATTTGCAGTAAAATCAAAGAAAAATACAGCCTTTCTGCTGTAGCTCTGTTGTTACAGAAGTGACTCTGCATGACTGTGACATTGCGGTGTCCTGCATTTAGTCTCCCTCTCAGTGACTCCAGGGCAAATGAGTACATTTATGAGTTCAATATTTCTGACTGCAAGCGCCCCATACATCACGCAGTATATGAAGTCCCATTAGGCTCCTTCTGTCCCTCACATCCTCACTAGCTATAAAAAAAAAAAAAAAAAAAGAAATCACAGCCAGGGTAAAGATGACAGCATATGCGCAATCTGTGTTGTCATCAATCGGCCGCCTCCTCTTAAGAGCAACCCTCTCAAATTTCATATATAATGAGTTTTTTAGATGAGATTAGACACTCATTTCTAACATTGGCTAGTGAATGCTCACAACACCCTTGGCCAGCCAGAGAATTCACTTCCCCTTTTTATATAAAGACACATAAAGTTTTGTGTGATTACTGCAGACAAAAAACACCTTGTGAGGCGTAACAGAAACGACAAGAAGGAAAAAAAAAAAAAGGCAAGAACTTGTAGCTGGAAGGTGAACTAAAATCTTTTTTACTTGGTGAGCTGCAAGCTCACAGGGACGTTTTGTCCTTTCAGCCACTGACGGCATCATGAAAGGAGAATGGAGATTCATTCCTTACATGACATGAGGCATTGATGGAGTACGGGAGATTGGAAAACCTGAGCTAGCAAGTAAAGCAGGAAATAAGCTGCGAAGTATTACAAAGAAATTTGTATACGCTAACTCTGCACATCTTCCTTTCGATAGGCTGGTAAGCGTAAGCAGTGCACCTATTTTTACTGTTGTTAATGCATGTCAGCGTTAACTGGGGAAATACGCAGGCCTAGCTTCACGCAGAGGGAGGTGGCAGAGCTAAATGCGAGAAACTCAACGCGTGGAAACAGAAAATAAGCCCGCGGCTCCAGCAATGCACAGAGCTGGCTCTGCAGGCTGCTGAGGGCTCCCTGCCCCAGCGCCAGCCTGGGGCCAGGAAATACTGCTGGCTGCAGACGGTCCACTCTTCTGTCCGTCTGTCCACCCCCCTGCAGTGGAGCGGCACGGTCACGGCTACAGCACAGGCTGCCAGGGCAGGTAGAACCTGGACGGTGCAGCACTGGGAGCGAGGAGAGGCTGCAGCCCTGTTAGCTTACCCGTCCAATCCTCACCTACAGCTATTCATGCACGAGACTTTTTTATTTAAAATACGCTTTGAGTGGCTCTTAGGAGAGTTTAACTGTGCAGCCACAAGGCAGGAATGGGGGGAAGCCTGAGAGACGCTTCTGTGTGGGGGCAGCAGGACCCGAGACAGATGAAGATGCAGAGGCTGATGAAGACTCATATTCATAAGAATATGAATTCTTTCTTTGTTAAATGAAACTAGCCAGAGAGCTATGCTTGAACTCTGAATTCTTTCTTGATCAGAGAAATAGCCATAGCAAGCAAAAAATAGCAAAGATAAACACAGAAAGGTGTATGCTTATATGGTCATAAATAGACTGTTGTGCACTTTGTTTCTCTCACAGCAAAGCTGTGAAATTACAGCTACTTTACAACTTATTTAGGAATTGGACATGCATAATCAGGGTACTCCTGTAGATCATGTTCAGAGCAAGTGACTTTTGGACAAAAATAGGCTTACTGGCATAGCAAGAAAAGTGACCAGGACCTCTGGCCATAGGTGAAGGCCTTCTTGTGTCAGGGACTCCACACCCTTCTGTAAAATGGAAATAAACCTGCATACTCCTAGATTCCCAGCTACAGACAACCAGGAACATGGACATACATAGGATTTCCCAGGCAGCCCCATAGTACAGGCCTGCCAAATACCGTACACTCTGCACGAGACCTGCTCCACCGGCCCTTGTCCCACACGCTGTCCTGCAGCACTCGTACTCCACGGGTTTGAGATACAGCAGAGCAGCGTGGCTGCTTGCCACCCAGCACACCAGAGAGAGCCCGTCAGCCTGATCCGCGATGTCCAGGCAGCTGCAGCTGGTTTACGTGGTCCTGGAGGGGCAGAGAAACCAAGAGGCTGTGTTGCAGCTGTGGATAGACATTAATTTTACCAACGGCAGCCCATTCTCAAAGCTGACCCGCACCCTAAGCACACTCACCTGAATGGATGAGCACCACGCGTGTCTGACAGATGAGAGGCTCTTCCCCACCACACAGACCAGAGCAGAGAGGTCTCAGGTGTCAAGTCTTAGGAAAGCAGACAGGCCAGACACAGGTCACTGAAGTTTCTCCCCACCTCCTGAAATCGCCCATTTGCCAGTTTCCACAGAAAGTTGCACCTGGGCAATTTCTCCTGACCAGCATTCACCTGGATGTTGAATAAGGCAAACCAGGAGGAGAGAAGGAAACTGGACTTTTGTTCTCATTCCTCCCATCTCTGCCTCAGAGACAACCTGCAGGTGATCCCCCTTCCAGCTCAATCCATCCAACTTCCATGGGGCTGGTCCTCTGCCCTGAGACAACCCAGCCCTGCACGGCACCCCACAGCCACCGACCAGCTGCACAACGTGAGGTTTAATCAGAGGCCACTGTGAGTGGAAAAGAGAGTGGAGGAGACACATTGCCACACCGGTTTTCCAGCTTCCAGCACAAAGAGACTGTAAAAAAGACTGTTCTGAGTCAGATTAAAAGTTCACTAAAGCCATTAGCCCGTCTCCAAACACAGCTAATGTCAGAGCCTCAACTAGAGATGCTATCTCTGTGACAGGGCCATTTAAAGTAACCCATAAATTAAAAAAAGCACATTGCAGAAACATGCTGAGATCAGGAACTGCTACAGAAAGGCTCTGGGCCTAATTACAGACAAAGCGCACATGGTTTCTCCAGCCTGTAGTACCTCCAGGGGAAGAACGGTCCAATGCTTGCAAGAGTCAGGGCCAGGATTTCTGGTGCTCCCGGGATGCCCCCATGGGGACTGTCAGATCTCCGGTGATGGGGGCCCACGGGAACGCTCTCTTTTCTTCAGAGCATCCATGGATATTTTCAGCTTTCTCTTGCCAAGGGATGGAAGGAACATCCAAGATCCTGCAAACACTGATGAGGACTTCGTTGTGTTGGGGGCTTCATGGCAGAGCTGATAAAAAGAAACCCTGTACAGATACCCTCTCTGAGCCACAAAGAGGAACCGGGGAGACCTCCCAGCAGCAGGTCTGCCACACCTCAGACA